TCATTTATGTTTGATGAGAAAAACAAACCCCTGAAGGATGGAAGTTATAGGGAAACATTTTCTTCAGCTTGCTCTGTTTAAGAAGAAAAATCATCCCTCAAGAGATTGGGAGCTGCCTTCTCACTTCCCCTCATTTTCAAGTTTCGGCTGCTCAAAAGAGCATGCAATGACGCGAAATAACATATAACAGGTCAGTTCCAAGAATCTTAGCCCAGGCCTGTCAGTGCCGAGGAAGCAGCACCTGCTTTCTTCAGCCAATACTTCCGCCCAAGCCAGACCCTGGGCTGGAGGTCCCGGTGCCCAGGCTCTTTGGGAGGGGGACGGGGAGCCACGCCCCAAAGCTTCAGAGAAAGAGAAGCATAATAACCCAGCCTGCAGCAGGTAGAGAACCCTGAGGAGGGACCAAAGCATGGGAAGCTGTGTCGTCGCTTGTCCCCTACCCCTACTCCCCCGGCAGGCCACGGATGTCCCTTCTCCGGCAGCTGCCAGGTGTGTTTGAAAACATCCAAGCTCCAACCTTCACGTAACAGGAAATAAATATCTCCAGGGGTGTGGGCCAGGGTGTGTGTGTGTGTGTGTGTGTGTGTGTGTGTGTGTGTGTGTGTGTGTGTGTGTGTGTGCGCGCACGCGCTCCCTGCATGCCTACCTGTGTCTATCATACAGCCAGAATCTAGATTCTGGCCTTCTCGGGGTGCCAGTGACTGCCATGGGACAATTTGGGCGAGTTTGATGCGGAAAGTGAGATGGAGGTGAGCACGCGCGTCGGAGGAGAATACAAGCTGGTGTCCTGGCTAAGAACCAGAAAGGTCCTGGAAGCCACAGCCCCCTCTCGGGATCGCAGCCCGCCCTCCTGCCCCAGGCTGTCCCGCCTACCCTCGCCTACCCTCTTCGCAGGAGTTAAGGACCTCCCCGCTGGGCTGGCTGCGCTCTGGTCCCTCCTGCACCGGGCCCTGCGACAGCGGCCGGTGCCCCCCGCCCCCCTCCACCACGCGGAGTCCCGGGGGTGGTTCTGCTTGCTGGTGCATCCGAGAGTTGTTGGATCGTGCCGAGGGAGCACGGCTGTGTGTGTAGGGCTTCTGCTCTCGCCTTGGGTTTCCCCAGGGCTGGGCGAAGTGACCTCCGTGGCCTGCCAGGGATGCCCCGAGGGGCAGAACAGTGGACGACCTGGCGCCGGGGCCAGACCCGGGGCTGTGCCGGCAGGTGCTTCGGCTCCTTTTTTCCTTCTTCCCGTCCTCTCCCCCTCCCTCCTCACCCTGAAGTAAGATGAGCGTGATGCTGTGGCGCTGGGAACAGAATAATTCCACCATGAAGCTGGTAAGGGAACCCCGCGGACTCGCAAGCTCCACTTTGGTCTCTCGCCCGAATTGTTACTGAAGTGGAAAATCCCCGATCCGAAGTTGGTATTTCTCTTTTTGTTTCGAAGGTAGATTTCAGTGTGTGTTGGGGGGGGGGGGGGCGCAGAGCTGAGATACTTAGATGCTTACATCCCTATCCCTTCCACCTTCGAGCTCCTGAGCTCTGTCTGTGCGATTGCACCCCACGGTCTTCTCTAGGCAGGTCTGGGATCAGCGTGGTCTGCCTCCTGGACCCCTGCCCAGCATTGTGCCGTACTCCTTTAGGATGCACGTGGGTACTGCTCCCTGGTGGGCTGGCTCATTTGGGGCTGGGGATGGGAATATGTGGCCCCCTCTCCTTATTCTCCCTCACAGTGTTGTGGTAGTGCAAGCTTTAAAAGCTTGCAAGAAGCCTCCAGGCTTCAGGTATTTCCTCCCCCCCCCCCCAAGTTTTCAAAAGTAACCGCCACTCCCTCCCTGGAGAGGTGAGGCCCGCAGAGCTGCTCCGGGAAGGTTCAATTGTTTTCCCATCCCAAGCAGGAAACGTGATCCAAAGCCTCTTCTCCTGGCTTTGGCTTTGTGAGTTAGTGGTGTTTTTTTTTTTTTTTAATTCAGATGGTTTCAGCTGGCAAGGATAGCGATTCCCTCACTGAAGGCAGTGTCCTCAGCAAGTGGTGGACAAAAGTCCCCACTTTACAGCTCTCGTGCTGAGCTTAATATGTAATAGGAGCTCAATGCAGAATAATGTGAATAAGCTGGAATTCATGCTCACTGAGGTGATCTCGCTTAAAGAAGCTGTTTAGAAACAACACCAGCAAAATAGTGGGCGCCAAGCTTGAGTCTTCACATAATGGAGTATTGTTGGCAAAGTACGCTTTAGTGTTCACGCTGCGTGTGTTGTGATTGGCCTACGTAACCTTAAGCAACTATTTTTTTTACAGCTTGGTTTAAGATGCTGTAACATTAGCAGACATTACGCGCATGCTCCCGTCCAGGGCATGATTACAGCTCCTTAAACCTTTCCTGGAACCTTCTCCCAGCTTCCTCCCCTAGCCATGCCTGAGGGGAGAGCCAGGGCCCAGTCTGAATGGCAAAGGTTGCCAGACCTAAGGCTTCTACGAAGAAAATGGATTCTGTGTCAGGCAGGGAAACCATAAAACATCCCCCAGTAGATGGCATCTGGGCCCCGGTGACAGGTGCCTGAGGTCAGAACTGGGACATCCTCGCTGTCTCTTGGACCTATAGAGAGAGCTTTCTTCCGAGTGGGTCAGGGGTCAGTCTTTATTGGGTCTGTCTGGGTCTTTAGACTTGTCTCCTTTTCAAATGAACTGTGAAGACCACCTAAGATGCCTGGACCCCTTTCCCAGTCAGGTACAGGAGGAGGGGTGGAGGAGAGCAGACAACTTGCTAGCACACACAGGGCAACTGTTGCTTCCTGGGTACCGAATCCCAGTCAAGAGAATGCGTGGCTGGGTCTGGACATTCAGAGAGCTTCATGCGTCCTGCAAGTGGGCCTCAGCCCTTCTTCAGAATCCGAGGAGCAGCATTGCAAATCAATGTATCAAGCTACCAGCCATCTGCTGTGAACTTGCTCCTCCGCTAGGGAGCATGACCTCAGTAGACACAGCAGCTGCATCACGGAGGGCCTTTTGGCTCACACCCCACTCCTGGTTTTCTTCCTAACCCTGCCATTTACTAAATCTGAACCAATCCCCTTTTCTGTAAAACAGGGTTTTGCAGTTCTCTGCCCTTGTACAAACACGATACAGGGTAGTCTTTAAGAGCGGGTCCAGTCCAGAGTCTGAAACACTGGTGTAGATTGAGTGGGTACAGCCAACCTTCTTGTCATTGTTTTTCTTTAACAATCTGTGCCCCGCTTTGCCTGGGCTGCTGGGTGAATGACTGGGGGAAAGCAAACCTTTCTTATCTCTGAATCATCAGTGGGGCAGCAGGAGGGAGCTCCCTGGGGGGGAAAAAAAAACCTGTCCTAGAAGTCAATTGTGTGTGAATAGCAGCCCACAATGGGGCCTGGGGCCAGAGGTGGTGCCTGAACTTTTATCACTGATGCAGTTCAATAAACATGAAGTCAGCTAACCCGCAGCTCGAGAATTCACTGTTCTGGTTGAATAGTGGAGCAGAGGTTTTACTTCATGTTTTATTTTAAAGCTAATTGGATTTAAAAAGAAAAAAAAAAATAAGGTCAACAGTCATTAGGGGAGAAAGTTTGAATCTCTTTGTGTTACCCCTGCAGGGGAATGTCAGAGATGCACCTACCCACCTTGGAGAGAAGGCAGTGGCTGGTAGATCTTCAATGAAAGGAAGCGAGGTGACTACTCAGGCGGACACTCCTGCTGGGAGTGGATAAGCTTAGGTACAGCCAGGAGCATCCTTATGGCCCTTCCTTTAGATTCTTTGCGTTAGGCAGGACACGGGGAGAGACCATGATGCTGGAGCAGCTGGTATCACAGGAGAAGCGGTACCCATCAACCAACAGTGGTAGGGGGAAAGATACCCAGAGAAGTACCTGTCCCCAGCCTGCAGTCTCTTCTAGCGCAGAGCCCAGGCTTCTAGACCTCGGCCTCTTGATCTGTAACCAGGGAGCAGAGCATCTCTCAGGTCTGCTGTGAAAATTAGGGAGAAGTTGCAGCTGGTTTTACCCTCGGCCCGGGTAATCAGTTGGAGGGAGGTGAAGGGCTGCCCTCTGACTAGGAGGTGATCTGTAAGTGTGTGTGTGTGTGTGTGTGTGTGTGTGTGTGCGCGCGCGCGCGCGCTCGAACGCACATGCACGCGCGCATATTTCTACACACAAGGAAAGGAACAGTGCTCCTCATGAGCAGCAGTGCCAAGCTTGGAGAAGTATCACTCAAGACTCCTTCTGTCCACCTTCTCCTTATATCTCAAATGTGACACAGAGACCCTACATTTGTGGTTGAGAAGAGACCAAAAGAAAAAGGGTTGCTAAAATAATCTTAATAGCCTGTGTGCAGGGAGGCTTTAGTTTGCAGAGATTCTGTTTCATCTTCCCACAGCTCTGCCAACCAGAAACTATTTGATAACAGCCCCTGCTTGTACAGATGAGGAAAAGAGGCTCAGACTTCAAGGACCTGCCTCTGGTTTTCTGGTGGCAATGACCAAGCGCCACACTGCTCACTTCAGAGCCCTGTGTGCCTCCTAGAGACCAGCAGGGCTGAAGGACAGAGAGCGCTGCAAGAGTTTCTGACCTGACTGTGCCCTCTCCAGCATTTCTCTTCGTGGGCCTCTTTGTGAGTGCCTCTGGCCTATTGTCTTTCTTTATACTGGGGGAGGCTGGGAACAAGGTACAGAAAAGGTCAGGGTGGGTGAGTAATCCTGAAAAAAAACAAAACAAAGCACCAACAACAAAACACAGGACCCTTCCTCAAAATGATGGAGAAAGTAGCTCTGAGTGGGAAATGATGAAAAATAATGATGCTGAATGAGCCACTAGCTTTCACCAGAGGCACTGGTCAGTGCGCCCCTCCCAGCCACCCACCCCCACACACAGCCTGCCCTTAGCTAGGCTCATGGGGAAATTATAAGGGATCAGAGGCTCTGGGGCTCTGTCTGTCTTCCAATAGTTTGTTCTACTGAGATTCGAAGCTCAGGAAGCAACAGTACTGGCAGCCTGCTCTATGGCCCTCCAGGAGCATGCTCACTCCGCCAGCACATCTTCTAAAAGTGGGATGATACACAAAAGATTAGCATGGCCCCTGGGCAAGGACACCACTCAAATTCCTGACGCCTTTCATGTGTTCAGTACACGAGAGAAAACAACACCACACCCAGAAGGCCAGTGTGCACCTTGGGGGATGTCAGTGGGTAAGGTGCTTGCTAAGCGAGCAGGAAGACCTTACTTTAGACCCCCGGCATTCACACAAAAGCTGAGTGTGGTGGCATGTGCCTGTCACCATCCCCCTGGGGAGGTGGAGATAGGCAACTTGCAGAGCTTGCTGAGCAGCTAGCTAGTCTCCCTGAAATGGTGAACTCCAGGCTCAGCGAGTGACGGCTTCTAAAGAAATAAGGTGAAGACTGATAGAGGAAGGCACTCAAGTTGACCTCTGGCCTCCACGGGATGTGGCGTGTACTGGAGAGGCACATCTACCCACACACATACACCATACACAAACAGCACCGATGCCTCTTTGGTATTTCCTTTTTCCGGCTTGAAATTTAATTGCCGGATAAAGAAAGAAAGAAACATTTAAGGTGTTCCATATACATACGTTCAATGACATATGTACACACAGGGAAATGATCACTACCATGACACTAACACACACATCCCTTGCCAAGGTGGCTTCTTCCTCACCTCTATCTGGATCGGCTGTTTCTCATTTCATCAACTCCACTTTGAGAATAAAGCTTGTTGGCCCTCATTTGAAGTTACTCCCGAAGGATCCGTTACTTCTGCTCTTGGGCATTGTAAAGTCTCTCTCTCTCTCTCTCTCTCTCTCTCTCTCTCTGCTTTCCACTAATTGTAATTGGCACAGACTTTTCCATCTGCTGGCTACTGAACTCTATCTGTTTTCTGTTAGTCTTTTAATGCTCAAGAGCAAGAAATTCCACCCTTTCTTCAAGGAGCCAGGTTGGGGAGGACAGGAGCTTCCATCTGCATCTCCACTGTGCGTAATAAGCCTTGGTATTCATTTCAGAATCAAGACAGTTGCATGGATGTGCAGGAGGTTTGGCTTTGCCTAATTACTGGGGAAGTAAAGACTGGAACATTGAAGGGAAACAAAGCAGAACCCTGAAATTAGCAAGGAACTTCTTTGGATGACATCTGGAGAGGTTACACATTTTCCTTCAGTTTTGTGTCAATAGAGGCAGAGATATTTATAATTAGCCCCTCTGGTGGCCCAGCTGTGCCTGCGTTACCAACATAATTGTTTTTGTATGGAGTTAGTACAAAACATTTTTTTTTTTTTTTTTTTTTTTTTTTGGTTTCTATTTCTGATCTCTACTATTTAATGCCACCCACCCGGAAGACATGTGGCTAACTAAGCTTTTCTTTAGGGTCTCCAATCTATGTCGGACATGTAGGCTGCTGTCATCGTAGCCTGCCACCAGCCCAGGGCTCTCCCCAAGGGTTGTTCTTATGATTGACATGTCATTGCAGATGTGAGGTGATAAGGGTTGCAGGCTGAAAGGTGGTGAGACAGAGAGCCCAGACGGCTACCCAGGATGCCGTGGGGCGGGGAGGGGTAGGTCTGCTTAAGCAGGGTAACTAGACAGGTGTGCTGGAGATACTTGGAAAGGCTGGGAGGTAGGAGAGACTTGTCTCTGCTTCTGAAACTGCTAACTCCATCCTGTCATAACTCTGTGTGTGTGTGTGTGGGGGGGGTAGACAGAGATAGTGTTGTCACCCCGGTGAAGTTTCGGGATTCCGGTGCCATCCGCAGCCGGGATCCTTCAGGGCAGCTGAGCTTGTTAGGGACGAAGCCGTTTGTCAGCGGCATTGGAGGCCTTTCGGTGTGGCTGTGGTTTCTCTTCCTCTATTCATCTGCACTGCATCCCGTCAGGAACTGTGCGTCCCAGCTGCCACAGCCAGCAGCGGTCTTCCGTATTCGCGCTTCTTTAAAAGAAGACATCTGTTCATGTTCTTGTCTATTTCCTCCTTTAACAGATCCGCTGGTATTGTCTATGTGTATGACAAGCATGCAAGTGTGTGCAGATCAGAGGGCAACTCTGGGTGTCAGTTCTCTCCTACTTGTTGAGGCAGGGGATTGTCTTGTTTCTACTGATCATCCTACTCCAAGCAATCCTCCTGTCTCTGCTTCCTATCTCGCCCTGTGATTATAGGCGGGTCCTGCCACATCAGGCTCCCCTGCAAAGCTGAGGCCTGCACTCTAGGGCCTTGTACCTGCTAGGCAAGCGCTCTATCCCTGAAGTGTATCCTCACCCCCATAGTTTATTTATTTTTTGTTTTATGTGCATTGGTGTTTTACCTGTATGTATGTATGTCTGTATGTCTGTGTGAGGGTGTCAGAACCTCTGGAACTGGAGTTACAGTTTTGATCTGCCATGTGGCCATGTGGGTTTTGGGAATTGAACCTGGGTCCTCTGGAAGAGCAGCCAGTACCCTTAACCACTGAGCCACCTCTCCAGCCCCACATCTGGCTTTTTTTTTTTTTTTTTTTTTTTTTTTTTTTTTAAACATAGTTTCTAGGGGTCAAGCTCAGGTAGTCAGGTTTGTAGGAAAAAAGTACTTTCACTGGCTGAGTCATCTCACCAGCCCAATTAATTCCTTTTCCAAAGCCCACATACACCAAGTCCCCATTCTAAGAAACCCCAGCCCCAGGCCACTCCACCTCCTCAAGTAGGAGCAAACCCCTACAGGGATATTCAGACATCTGCCTCTCTCTCTTTTTCACTTACTGGTAGCAACGAGGTTGAAGCAGCTTGCTCTACCTTGGGTTACCAAATTTCCACAGCCTCAAAGCGATGAGGTGAACCATGCACTGAGACCTTCAAAACAGTGTGCCAAGATGAACCTTTCTCATTTCCAAGTTGGTTTAAACTGGATCGTTACAGTTAATGAAGGCTAATACACAATCAAATCAAATCCTGAGTCCTGCTGCCTTTGGCAGTGTGACCTTGGACAAGTCAGGGAACTTCTGCCCCCCCTCTGTTGATAAACAGAGAGTTAAATGAGCTACTGCAAAGTCTCAATGCAGGGCTGAGGAATTGTCCCCGCTGAGCCTGGAAAGGCACTAAGGATATATATGCAAGGCATGTTATTGCTTTGGGTGCACATTTAGCTGAGCAGTGAACTCTGGAGGTGATTTTACTTGCTCTTCTTGTCAGTTTCCCCCTATGGTCTTGTGGAGAGTAAGAATCGTCGTGTTTGCATGCTGGATTCAAACTCCAGTTGGCGGACTTGGAGCTAAGCAGCCCACAGCCAGAAGGGACAGTAGAGTCCAGGACTGAGGGTTCTGGAAAGTCATCATTACTGTCAGGAAGAGGCCCCGCGACAAGGAGCCCCAGCCACACACTTCAGAGAGGGACCAGCCTAGGGCCTCTTGTTTATGACCACTCTCCACACACCTGCCCTTCCAGCCTCTCTAGCAGAGGTGCAAAAGAAGCGCCAGCCGCTTAGAGTCGCGCCTGGAAAAGCCATGTTTCTTTGGAAATGGGCCGCAGATGACGTAACCCCATGGTATCCCGTTACCCGGTTCTTGGCTAATCTTTGTATAGAACTTGTTTAGGTGAAATCTGAGTCTGGAGAAGCCAGTTAAAGTACATTACTTTCTCACTGTTGAACGCCTCCTGGACTTGGGATAACATTTAATCTAAAGAGTAAAGTGATATTTCCTGAGATAGCAATGAGTTCATGTTTGGAAATTAATCCAACTGAGTTTATTGCATCATTTTTTTTTTCAAGTGCAAACTGCAGTAGTGGATGTTCTCTCTACCAGGTAATGTCTAGCCTGGCCACTGCACTGGGAGAGTGGGGAGCTCTAGGCATGGCAGTGTTCAGCTCTCTGGCTGCACACTATTCCAGCTTCAGCCATGTTTTGGTTTAAGGGCACTATGTTTTGAAGTAGTAGTTTTTGGGTCCTGGGAAACTCGGCAGACAGGCCTGATTTAGCTCATGCTTCCTGGGTTTGGGAGACTTGTTCCTTGCCCTTTTATCCTCTGCAAAATGCTTCCCTCTCTGTAACGATGAATGAGCAGTACCTTGTGCAGTCCAAAGAGAGGAAAGAATGAATGTGAAGCCTGTCACTGTCCCTTATTTCCTGAAGGCATGTGGAGATCCATACATGATTGACTTGACAAAGACTTGTCTGTCTGCATTCCCTTTCTGTGACGTTTAAACTGCAAAGTCCCAGGACTGGAGAGGTGGCTCAGTGGTTAAGAGCACTGGCTGCTCTTCCAGACAACACAGGTTTGATTCCCAGCGCCCACATGGGGGGGGGGGGTCACAACCATCTGTCACTTCAGTCCCAAGGGATCTGACACACCAGGCATGTATGTTTCACAGACACACATATAACCAAGACATCCAAACATGTAAAACGGAAGCTACATTGTCAAGTCCTATTGACGGGATCTATACGGGAGTGGTTGTGGATAAAGAATGTCATCTCACATGCCTTGCTTTTGATTATGTTACCTGCACCCTTCTTAGCACATGCGTATTCGTAGAAGAGCTAACCCTGACCTTACGTGGAGAATATGGTCCCCGGGGGCTGAGACCCAGAGACGATCACACTTCCATCAGAACTAATGGCAGCCACAGAGCTGCCTGCCCTCTTTTCATTCCCCAGAAGCCACCCAGCCCCCGCTACATGCCCAGGGCTCAGTCACCATTTTTAATTCCCAGCGGCATGTGGAGTGATCACACGCAACCCAGGCCTCCGTATTTTCAGCATAGCACAGTGAGTCAATCCACAGGATGGCTAGTGGAAAGACCTAAGTCTCTTGTCCTGGCTGCAGCTGGGTCCCAGCCCTTCGGAGGTTCATCCCACAGTCAACATTGGTTAAGTGTTTTCAGGGTTCTGCAGTGACACGACATGCCCTAGGTGTTTCGGGGAAAGCTTTGGGAATCTTCTGGCAAGGCTCCTGTGTGAACCCTGACACACCGGATCTGGGAAAACGGAGAACGTAGGCATCTACCTTGCACCTCGTATGGCCCCTGCATGATTCCTATCATGTGGTCCTGGGCTGAGACTGGGGAAAGTCGCCAGGCCCTTTACATCAGACTCAAGTTATCAGAAGACCTCATTACTTCTGGGTTTTACTGTATGTTCTCAGG